ACTAGGCACTCGGTAAAGTGAAAATAAGATCTTTGCTGAAACAACAGCAACGTTTCTGTATGCTTAAATTAACATAATGTTCTTTATTTAATTTTCGATATCTAAAGAATCAAGTTAATACAATCAAACAATCGACAAATTAGTTGATAGAATCAATCATCAACCAATTAAAAAACATACAAAAAATCAAACGATTTAAAATATTAATACAATTAGGGAAATTATTATATAGATAACCACCTATGGAATTTCGGGACTTTGAGTATCTATCTGAACTGAGGGGACCGAGACGACTTCAACGATACCCTACTTTTGGACCGGAGACGAAAAATAATAAAGTTATCATACTTTTTCTGGTGATCGCATGATATAATTGTGCAGTTAATGTTACCTATGGTGAGTAAAATGGCGGCTCGTCTCTGATTCCAGCAAACAGAAGAAAGGAAACAGTGGGGACGCACGTTCTGTCCTAACCTAACCTATTCTAATAAATTACCATAATTATTACCAACCAAATTATTAGAATAGGTTAGGTTAGGTTTGAACGTGCGTCCCCACTGTTTCCTTTCTTCTCTTTGCTGGAATCAGAGACGAGCCGCCATTTTACCCACCATAGGTAACATTAACCAATTGTGCAGTCTAAAGATTGGTAACACTTTGAATTTCATACCAATTGGTTTCTGCGACAAGCACACTTATTTGTGGTACATTTATTTGTGGCAAAGATCTTATTTTCACTTTACCGAGTCCCTAGTAGGTATTGTGCGGATTACCTAGATACTCTGCAAATTATCTAGGTAATTTGAGAAATGGAACAATTTTCACAACTTTAACGGATCACGCTAGTTAATCTGCAGATTAGCTAGGTAATCTGCAGATTAACGAGTTTCGAGCTTTAGCGGTAACATAGATACTGCTAAATTGAGGTAACTAATAGTTCTAATTCAAAAGATGCATTTTGTCTATCACCAGCTCTTCATGCAGAACAAACTGTAATTGACTGTTGATTTTAGAATACTCTAAAGTATTCTATAATTCTGTAATTTGCATTTACATTTTTATATAGAACAAAATTTAAAAAATAAATTAGAACTTAAAATTGAAAGTTGGGCTTAAAATATATTTAAAACTTAATGTTTGATTTTCTCTTGTGTTTTTAACATCTCTCTTCAAGCTTTTCTAAATTCAAACACACAAAAAACTCCCCTTTTCTTTAAAACAAATAAATATATTAGTCAGAAACATAAAATGGAAGAATACATCCACACATACAGTTAGAAATAGATCAGTCTTTGATTAAAAAAAAAAAAAAAAGAATGCAAATGTTTTGTTCTTCACAATGATCTTCTTTTTTTTTTTTCTCAAACTTCTTCTGACACTTAAAATTCAAAGCCTACATCACTTGGTTCCTATATACACAGGAAGTCATGTGAGATTATGTCACATAAACTGGTGGCATTTTGCACATTGATAATCTGGGCCATCATGCATTTTACACTCACAACAGACATGAATAAAAATTATAAAAAATTATTTATATTTCTTTCTAGCATGACTATTTTTAGAAAGATTATTGAGGGTTTCATTAATACACTTGTACTTTTCTTCTAAAGCTAATAAAATAAGAAACAAAGAACATTTACAATATTATACTGTCACAGTCAAGTCTTTTATTTCAATTTATGACTTTATATACAGGATTTACACATATGCATAAGAGTTAAAAGATTACTTACGATGATGCAAATTTTAAAAAGGGAGAAAGATTGATTCAATGATCAAGATAAGTCAGGCATATACATGATCAAACTGGTCAAACACACTGATAGTTTCTACTGTATTGGATTCACATATATATTATCTAAAAGAATCAAAGAACATTTTAGTTTAATAAATACAATGTCCAGAACAACAATAAAGTATAAAAATACAGTAGCTCCTTGTTATATTGTGCATGTAGGGAGACAGTTGAAATGATAAATATATGATATGGCACAATATAATCAATGTATTTATATATTTATGCCATTACAACAATTTGGATGACACAAAAATAATGTGATATATTCCAATGAGTGATATAGTGTGTCATGATATAACAAGGGGCTACTGTACTTAATAAAGAACATTATTTTTAAACTGTAAGACTAAATATCTGCATCCATAATTCCAGTATAATAAGTCCTGTTAATATATAGAATGTACTAGTATACAAAATAAATTATAAAGGGGCTACTGTATTTACAATTCTTTCTGAACTTTGTTAAGTCTTGCAAAGCATGTTCCACATTAGGTATGATTGTTTCAAGTTTAGATGGAGGATTTGGCACAAACATGGGGCCAAGTTTGGTGGCATCTCAGAGGAAAGAAGTCATCCCAGCATATCAGAGGGTATAGATCAGAAGAAGGGACTGTCAGTAATGTAGTATCCAGGTGAGCTTACTATGATACCTCTGTTTTAGTCTGGCAGTAACTCAGTCCATTAAGTCCACGACTCTTGCATTAATCTCAACTAATAAATTAGCCGAGAAATGAAAACTAATGAAATGAAAATGAATCCTCCAATCATACAAGGTCCCAAAGGATAGTGTATTTGCGGCATTGAACAGAATGGATTGCTTTCCTTAAGCACACAAAATACAGTTTAGGAGTAGTGAAGTGCAACCAATGGGTAGATGGATTCTCCAAATCAACATGGGGTAAATTACTAATGTCCAACATTCCAATAGAAAATCAAGTTTAACATTGTTCCTACAATTTTCAAAACCAACTTGCAATATGTCTTGACTGGCATAGCCATTTAATTTAAAACTAATTCAGAGCTGCCGTGTAAAGATAACAAACACACTCAGATAACCTTAAAAAACCAGCAAAAATTTAATAACTAAAATGCTTTTGGATGTTTTTAACGATCTTCCAGTAGAATATGTAATGGAATGCCACAATGGTAATTTGGATAATTATATTATTCTCTTTTGTTATCTTTGCTCGGCAGCTCTTTAAATGGCTCTTGAAAATTTGTAGGAACAATGTTAAACTTGATTTTCTGTTGTATTGTCGGACATTAGGAATTTATCCCATATTGATTTGGAGAATCTGTCTACCCATTGGTTGCACTTCACTACTCCCAAACTGCATTTTGTGTGCTTAAGGAAAGCAATCCATTCTGTTCAATGCCACAAATATGCTCTCCTTTGGGACCTTATATGATTGCAGGACTGTTTTTCATTCTTCGACTAATTTATTAGTTGAGATTAATGCAAGAGTCGTGGACTTAGTTGCCAAGTTACTACCAGACTAAAACAGATACATCCTAGCTAGCTCACCTGGATACTATGTTACCAACATCCAGGGGCAGATCTACATAAGGACTAATAGGGCTCCCAAGTGTCAAGGGCCCACAAAAATTGAATTATCATTATAAATTTTTATACATTTTCACTAACAATGAGCACTTATTGTATAGTAAAAAATAGTTAATATTAATAATACAGTTGACTCCCCTATAACACGGTAGATATGTTCTGGTATTTATGAATCCATTTTCTACAAGTGCAGCCAATCACAGCCCGGCACGTATGCAGTTTACGGACTACAGCTGTTTGAAAGGTTTCTTCCATAAAATTAATCGATTCTAGATTAATTTGACTCAACATTTCCAAAATACATATAATTTTTTGGGAATAATCCATATAAACTTTGCTATAAACAAAAAATTGTAGGATTACTTACTGAGTGTGCACCGTTCGACTATGCCATTGCTTAAGCTTGTTTTCATCGTGGAGCTTGTCATCGAATGGCGCTCGCGTGCTTCCAGATAAATTATTTTTTTGTGAAAAATTTGCTGAACTTTGGAGACATCATTAATATAAATATAATTTTTATGGACATTAAATAATAAATGGTTTTTAGTAGGTGTGCTGCTCGTTTAAACTCAGTGGTTTGTACAATATCCACTATTGGTCTAGATTCGACCAATCCTGTTGCAACACGAGTCGACGACGATGTTTTACCAAATTATATGAGTTTTTTTAGCATGTTTGTATGAATACTGTCACAATTTTTTTGCCGTGATATATGAATTCAAACTATAGGAACGCGTGTTATAGGGGGGTCGACTGTATAATAATAATGATAATTTATAGTATTATTTGTATTAACAAAAAATGGGACCCCTTTGGGCTTCAATAAGCACTAGGCCCTGAAAAACCTAGATCCATCTCTGCCAACATTCCAGGACCCCTTCTTCTGATCTATATCCTCTGATAAGCTGGGATGACTTCTCTCCTTCGAGATGTCTGTGGGAGGCCACCAAACTTGGCCCCATGTTTGTGCCAAATCCCTTACCTAAACTTGAAACAATCATACATAATGTATTCACAGTTTAGAACACACTATGAAAGTCTTCATATTCTGTCCTTTTTGAACACCTCAGAAACATACTCTAATACCAAATTCTCTTATAAATTATTATTAGTTTAGCCGGTTCTAGCCTGATAATTTGGCTTTGGTTAGTGTACTGCTTTAACATAATGGTCTTTATGAGTAGAGTCAATCTTTTATTTGGGGGTCCCTTTATCACCTAAACATTATAGTTTAATTGATAAAGGGATCACTTTGCTATCTCATTGGGTTGTATAATCATCAGTAAAAGTATGTAGAATATTCCCATTTTAATTAAAGAAATAAGACTGCTTTCTCAGCTTAGATTATTAGAACAGTTATATATTTTGATTTTTCTCTAAACTTGCTAAAGTAATTAATTCTCACGATGACCAAGATGTACATGTAGTATGGAGCTGGTAGAGAAATCAGAGGTATTCAATAAACATATGTTGAATAGTTCTGATTTTTCCACATTTACAACATCCCAGCCAATTTACTTAAGATGATTGTACTTATTGATACTGGACGTGTGCATTAGATGTAAGAAATTTTTAAAAACATTCTAAAATAGGTTTCGTTCATTATAAATGGAAATTATTCAATTTTTCCTGAAGGTGGTCAATCAACTGACTGAAAATGTTAGAAGTTTAAATAAAATGACTGCGTCTTAAAAGGTTTTTGTTGTTTATTGTTCTTATTTTCTCTCACAATGATAATTCCATTATCAGTAAAATATTTTAACAGGAAAGTCAGTATTGTTTATTTTGTAGATTCCAGAATAACTAGAATGTGAATATGTTACTAATTAGTTAGTGTATGAAAAGAGGAAAAACGTTATGTACAAGTGAAAATTAAAGAAGTCTGTCAAACACAGGCAAAAATAACTGAATTTTGTTTTAATGATATCCTATATCCTATACTATCAATAACTTTTTCTTTTTTGTTACAATTCTGATATCTGAAAGTAAATATAAACTAGTATACGATATACAGGTTTTTTTTTTCATTGGTTTGCTTATGTGAAAATCTGACAAGATGTGGAAAAAATGCAAAATCTAAATAATGGCATAATGACTTGATAAAAATATACAGGTAATCCCCGTATAACACAGCATTTCTATAGCATGGATTCACTCTAACATGGTTTGAGAATTGGGTAAAACCCTCATACAACATGAAATGTAATAAATTTTCACATACTTAAGTACTAATAGTTTGTGAAAATTATTATTTTTGTGAACTGTTAGTACTGTACTTAAGTATGTAAATTTTCTTTTCCGCCTTCTGTTGATACATGTAATCCTTCTCAAAACTTGTTTCAGTGTTGCCAGATCTCAACGCTTCTGATTTTGTGTTGCCAGATGTTTTCCCTTATTCCATACTTGCCTTATTCTTCATAAGTGCTTAGCACCATATAAGGAAATTTATAAAGATCTTTTAGCTAAAAGCAAGCAATCTAAAATAACATCTTTTGCAAAAGGTAGAGCATGGATCTGAAATAATGCAGAAAAATGCTCAAAGGATAAGATATCTTGCCAAAAAGAAAATGCCCTCGGTTAATAGTGCTTAGTGGTGACGAAGAAAACATTGTTTAATTTATATCAATATGTATCGTTTAAGAAAATTTAATAAAGATATTTATCTTAATTATGAAAACATAATAGCATGTTTTTAATTTTTGGAATCTAACCCCTCTTTTTGTACTAGTTCTTTGTTTCATATAACATGGATTCGCATAACACGGCAATTTTTTGGAACATAACTCCCGTGTTACATGGGGTTACTTGTATATATTTAATACAAAATTTAATATGAATAATAACTTTAATACAAAAAATATATATAATGCACAAAATAACAATTTTTTTAAAAAACACAAAGGAACATTTAATTCACAAATCCCATCAACAAGCTTCAGTTCATAAATCTATATTATGCATTCTAGAATTTTCAATATTTAATTAATTATTAAAATAATAAACTTATATTTGCTAGAATAATTGTTTAATCATTTATTTGTTACTAATTGTTAAGTTTGAATAAGTTGTTGTTATTTTTTTTTTTAAATTTAAGAATAAAAGATGAGCCAATGTCAGAAATAAATTTTCCTGTGAATGAAGAAATTGAGGAAAGTGCAATGGATGAACCTCATACACCTTTGCAACTAGAAGAACTTCCAAGTGCTTTACAAACTTTGGAAACCGAAGGTTCTGCAACTATGAAAGACGAAGAAAATATGAAATGGCCTGGGCAGAATGTTAAAAAAGAAGGCTCGTAAGTTATTGATTCCATGAAGTTAGTCTTTTAATACTGTTTTAATAACCTGTGTGAAATTTTATTAATAATAACTTCACTAATATAATTCTTACCAAACTGACAAATTCTAATTACCTAACAAGATTTACTCCTAATAAATTACCAGTGAATCTACTCCTAACCTTGATCCAGATGATGAGATTGATGGTAGTGATTCTCCTACATCTTCAATGGTTAGTGACATTGATATGTCTTCACAAGGCATAAATTCTATCGGAGTTACTGACATATCCCCTGGTATTGAATGCACTCGTATTGGAAAACCCCCAAAGAAAAAGTAAGTTAGCATATGTAATTCTTACTTACAGTTATTTGCATGTAGAATGCATTTGTTTAATTCTAATAGTTTTTGTCTATTAGAAATTAATTATTTGTTTATAAATTAATAAAACTAATATATTTTTGTAAAATGTTTAATAAAAATTAAATTATAACTTTTGTAATTGTACATTTTGATAGTTATAAAGCATTCTGATATATTATCTACAAATATAGAAAAATTTAGATGCATGCAATATTAATGTCAATATCTATTCTATTTGAAATAGTAGAACAATTTATGAATAAACTATATTGATACAATATTCATTACAAATAATTCAGAAGTTAGCTAAAGGATTATATAGATACATAGATGGATTTATTTTTTATAATCACTTTTTAATGAAACATCAGTTAATATATAACACATAAATAAATATAATATTTTCAGAATTTTTTAAAGTTATTTATTTATTCAATATAAAATATTTTTAAAGTTTTAATGACACATTATAGATAGATTCACAAAATATTATGAGAATCATTATTATTTCTTTCACTATAAATTAGTCAAGAAATGAGAATAATGTTGAAGAATATTTGGATGATGATACATTTTGTATGTTTTCTATTAAAAAAATATTGAAAATATAGAAATTGATTTTATGGTAATAACTAAAATTCATTAATATAAAATATGCAATATAAAAGACATTTAATATTATATTAAAGATTAAAAAGTTTTAAAATGTAATTAAAAACACAAATTTCAGAAAAAATTTAGTATTAAAATTAATTTCCTTTTTAATAATCATATTGATAAGAGCATACAAGTGAAAATTTCATCAACTCTGTAAATTTGTAACTTTCCTTCTTATTGATCATCAATTTTTTCTGTTACAAAATCAAGAGGTCAAAAGTGGCTCAAAAACATACATATAGATATAAATTTAGGAGCTGTCCATTAATTAACAGTTATATAAAAGAAGATAGAGAATTTATTTGATTTTCCAAATGGTTCAAAATATCCAACTTAAGTTTTGTGAAGAAAGGAATATTCTCAGATCAATATAAAATTAGATTCTAGAAATATTGATGATTTTATTTAAAAATAAGCCTAATCAATAATTTGTAAATAATGTATAACTATTAAGATTTGACAGTAGGCATTTGACAGTATAAAAATATTTTTTGATTGAGAATCAATTATCTATTATATCTGATTATAATATATGTAGTTTTTCTCATCATAAGATAAAAAAACTAATTTGGATGATGATTCAAATTAGGAATAGGAATCAGTTTCTTCAACATCACTTTAAAATCAGTTTGACAATTTTATCATCTTTAATCATATTAAGAACTATAATACAGAAGTGGACTCCAACCATTTAATATGAGAAACTTTTATCATACAGGCGTTAAATTACAAACAAATGTCCATTTTTAACGACCTGATGAAGACGAAAATAATTATCTTCGAAAGCACTTGTCGGTCTAGCGACATTTGTTTGCAATTTAACGCCTGTATGATAAAAGTTTCACACATATTAAGAACTTTTCATTGCTTGAATATTGCCATTTTGATGGTATAATAAAATTGATATAATCTAAAATGTACTGAAAACATTTCAAGTCTTTAATACCAAAAGAAATGACGTAACAATTAAAATTTTTATTTCTAGTATTCTGTATAAATTATCAAATGTTTAGCACTTGAATGATTTTAATCTCTAATGATCACTTTTTACTAAGTTTGTCAATTAAATCCCAGGAGTACATAAATTTTAAGGAAACTACAAGTTTGAATAAGAATGAAAAAGTTTTCATATATGTGATATTTTTGAAGAACCAATGCATTTTTGTATTTACTTGCAGAACTGTTGGGAATATTTTTAAAACTCATTTAAATTTATTGGTGCCAAGTCATTTGTAAAATTTGCATTTAATGCCTTTTATATTATCTTTCAAAAATCAAATTAATGCTAAAAGAGAACAAGGAACAATATGTAGAAGATAAACCAGCAGGATAACAGTATGGTTTAATTCTAAATTTTATCAAATCTTTCTCTAATGTCATTGCACAGTGAGACTGTGTGTTACTGTGTAACAGGCACCAAATTCTTCAAAAAAAACATCTGATTAAAAAATTCATCTTTTGAAAAGGCATTTGACAGTTAATTAATTAATGTTGTGATTTTTCAAAATATGAGGGCAGGCTGAAAAGTAATGCACATATGCTTGTAGAACATGAACAAAAACAAATAGCAATATCGGGCAAAAAGTACATTAAAGTATAATTTTTAAGCTTCAAAATCATATATTTATTTTTCAGCATAGTCACCATTAAGGCTAACAAATTTCTCCCAACGTGTAACAAGTTTTTTCATTCCGTCACTGAAAAATTCTTTTGACTTTTCTTGAATCCAGGACTTGACAGCTGCCTTCACCTCATTGTCTGAGGTGTAATGATTATCCTTGAGGTCTCTCTTGAGTAGAGGAAACAAATAAAAATCAGAAAGCGCAAGATCGGGGGAATAAGGAGGGTGTGGAATCGGTTCAAACTTCAGGTTTCGCAGAGCCTTTCCAGTTGTGCGCGAGGCGTGTGGATGAGCATTGTCATGTTGCAAGATTATTGGTGCCAGGCTGCCTCTAACATGTCAAACTCAATGTCAGAGGTGTTTTAGAGTCTGTATGTACTGAGAAGAATTAAACATTGCAACAAGGTGCAACGGTAATTGTCTGTGGCAGTGATCGGACTTCCGCTGCATGTTTCATCAACAATTATGGCTTTTCCAGGCTCGCAACCACGAAATTTTATTATCCATCAATTTACAATAGACCTATCAACAGCATCGTCATCATAANTATCTATTGGGTTGTGCAAATTTTTGATTACAGTATAATATTCAATAATATTAAATCGATATAAGGTTGTATAATATTTCAAATAAGAATAACATTGATGATTGTGAGCATATGACAAAAAAGTTAAATTGGTAAAACAAATATAGTTTGTATTTACATTCTTCTCTCAGGTAATTAACACATAAATGTGAATGAAGTTAAAATCTTACAATATTATACATAAATTTAAAAAATAATTAATTGAATAATTGTAGATCAAAACTAGATGTTTCTGTCTTGTAGAGAGAAGAGAAATTGTAGGAGTCCAATAGCTCTTTTAAATCCTTATATGATTGCCATATTTAGTTCTAAGTTTTGTAGAGGTTATCAGAGCACTGATTAGTATAGACACAGAATAAAAAGTGGGCTAACTATTTCAGATGATGATAGCTTTTTTCATCTATCAAACTATAAGTAGCTCTGACTTTAACCAGAAATTTGATTTTATAAGTGTAACTGTCTAGATTGGCTTCTTATTTGATCAATTTAGATTATATTGATTTATTTTTTTATAATTCTTATTTTATTTGAACTATTGCTTGTACAGACAGACATCTAGTGTATCCTTTACTTATCAGTTTTGGATGATTTGGCAAAACTGTGGTAAATTGGTCAAAACTAGCCAAACTCAAATTAACGTCATTCATTGTTGTGTGTACAGTTTATTTGTGGTTAAATGGAGACTTTGTCAAGAACTTCATAATGGATATTTATATCAATACTGAAGATATTAAGCTTAATCCAGGACATTATAGTACATTGTTTAGGCTTTATAACATTTAAATTAGCTGGAAGATATAGCAATAGATTCCTTCCCAAATTATAAGCCATGGATTCAACATGGTGTGTCACAATATTATATAGAGATTCATGTAGGTGAACTGCTCGAACTCGATCACAATGCATTAATATTGTAAAACCTCACAAGTATTTTTATTCTTTACATAAGACGATAATGTGATGCCCAGTGGACAAAAATGACATTCCTACAGTAAAAATTAGAAAATATGGGAGAAAAAAATAAATCATATCTTCTCAGTTGGTTGCCTTAACTTGCTTGCATTTTATTTTTCCAGCTCTATTATTTATAATAGAGGGAAAGTATGGCAATCAGTCAAAAAACGATATCCCAAGAATTTTACACTTTTGGACTCAGGACCTTAAAATGTCATGAAATACAAAAAAATTTTGGAGATTTTTCTGTATGTATGGGCGTGTGTTTGTGTGGAGGAGGCACAATTTTGTTCACCCTTTTTTGAAACTTAATAACTCCCATGATTTGAAATTTTCTGAAATTTTGCAGGGAAGTTTGTGTATTAAGGGGATCAATGCTATTTCATTTTGATGGTTAAAGATTGACAAGTGGAGAGATAAAGAGAGTCTTGTGTCATGTATCGAGTAGGGTTGGACTTAATGACGATCTTATTCGTTATTAGCATTTGCAATTTTTTATAAAATCCATCCCTATTCTTAAAATTAAGCTTTTTGCCATTTTATAATAATTAAAAATATGAAAAGATTTTAATAATAAAATATCATAACATATGGTGCCCCCCACACAGTTTTAAAAGTTGCTGGGAAACTTGTCTCTAGATTTTTTAAGTATGAAATTATCATTTCTTAATATTTTAAGATATTCACAGTTTACTTTAATTTGAAAAAAGATGTTTATTATGTTATAATCCATTTTTATAATATATTTGAAATAAATAAATTGTTTATTTCAGCATGTTCATTATTATGGTATCATAACAAAAATAAAATTAATCAGTTACCTACAAGTGATGAACAGCTTTCAGCAACAACAAAATCTCTATTGTCATTGCTGAATTTAACTCAAGGACAGAAAAGCAGGCGGCATTTCCCAAAAGGGGAAGAAATTGATATGCAGATATTGATGTCGGAATGGGAATTGGCTGATGGCTGTCTTCCTATTATTCCACTTACTAGGATAAAACATGCTCAAGATTTTTTGGATTCGTTTCTTATTCAGGTATTAAATTTTTTTTAATAAATTAATAAATATTTCAAAATATGAGAGATATTTTGTAATTTAGTTGTTTTATTAGAAATATGCGGGGTGATCAAAAAGTAAGTTTACAAGGTCCGTGGTTAAAAACAAATGCATCGTTGAGTGTAATGCCAATGTAGGTAGATAGTAATGATCTACATTGGCAACAATAAATGGTTACAAGGATATGTTACTTTGGGACACATGTGCATTTTCAAATGGTGATAAAGTTAGAAAAATTGTTTCACAAAGAAGCAGTTTAATTTTTTTGTGGAAATTGCTTCATATTATGATATGGTAGCAAGCTAGAGGGGTGTATGGGGTTCTTAGAGGGGTAGTAACTTTTGAAAGTGTCAGCCGCACTGAAATAGTGGACACCGTGGACACCGTAGACCTGTACCCCATGAGGACCCAACTCTCACTTATGGCTCCAAGTAGTTGGTAGTGCATGCTAATGACTTCGAGCAGACTGCGTTATATCGAATCAGTATTAAGCGAGGTAGCACTAAGCGGGGTCTTACTGTACTTAATATATGAAGAGTGCTCAAGAGAAGCACAAGATGATGGCGTGAAATTGTTGTCAACCTCCTGACAGGAGAAGACACCTAAAGAAGAAGAAGCAAGCTAGAGACCATTAATAGAAAGCATGCTGAATTCCTTATCCAAGGCATTATCCTCTTGTGACAATGTCTAACTACTTATAGCACTTCAGACTACAGTATTAATTTATTGCAGATATTTTAATGGAAGATTTGCCATTATCTCTCATGTAGCTCAGACTGAGTTTTTTTTCTCATTTTCCCTTATGTAAAGGAATACAGATATAATCATTATTTCACTACTGATGAAGAAGGGAAAGTTGTCATTGCTGAGTGACTGCTTGGGATGAAAAAGTTCACCTGTTACAATAAATGCCTGAACAGTTTAAGTGATTTTGTTGATGAAGTATAGCTGCCAGCAAACAATAATACTCTATTATTGTTTGTCAGTAGCTCTATTCTATTATACTTTGTCTAATGAAGGAAAACAACATAATTACGGTTTTTGTTATTTAAGCACTATAAAAGAGCAATTAATTGACCACTAGGCATCCTTTCGTCCTTTTATTTATTATTTCAACTAAATAATAAATAATAAAATATAATTGCACTTTATAGTGCTTAAACAACAAAAAGTATAGCAACATGGTTTTAGATTGGCAAAAAATAATTATGTTCCTATGGAGGTTTTGTGTAAATTGTGGTTTTTATTTGTTACAACTGAAGAGGGCCATTTAGAGCTGAAATGCATTTTGTAACAACAAATGTAGTAAAATGATAAATACTTGTGTTGGTGAAACAGGACATCATGACTCTTAAATTTGTCACTGGAACCACAAGTGGACTTATTAAAAAACTGCTTTGGGAAAGGATTCTTAGAGGATACCTATTGGTAACATTATGTTTTACATCTGTCCACAGAAAAAGATTAATTTTTATGATTTCTTTTATGGATTTTTAAAATTATTTGTGTTGCTGGCCTTGTAAAGTGTTTTCTGATCACTACACATATATTTTAGTTTTAATAATTGATAAATTGATGTTTGTGTGATGACTGATGATATAGCTGAGCATTTTATGGACATAAATAACCAAGCTTTATTTATGTTGACATCTTATGATTAAGTTTAAGGTTATAATTACGTAACTCATTGTGAATGAGCCTTTATTCACGTACTTGGAGATTGCTCACATGTTCATAAAAAAGTTCAGATTTCTAGTTTTCTGTGACAATGATATATAAATATATTATGTGTTTTTTGTATAAAAAACTGTCAAAATATCAATAATTAAAAACAATGAGATCAGTATATTCAATTCCACTAAAAAATAAAATTATTTTTAGTTAAAAGCAAGTAAAAAATACTCAATCTACTTCCGACTTCAAGGACAATGATGATGGATTTAGATTATGCTAAATGCTTTTTGAGAGAACGCTATACACCAGTAACATTCAGATTACCCACATCCATATAATCCAGTATACGATTGGGTTATGTAAAGAAAATAGAAAAATTAATTATAAAATTGGCAATAAAAAGAAAGGTAAAAAAATATTTAATTTACGTAAGAAATATAAGATATTAAAAAATATAATAGAGATAACATAAAAACCAATGATTCTGATCAATATGATTTAAATAAATATGCTAAACTCTCAGAGAAATGACTACCTACTAATACCGAAAAACAAGAAAAAGTTAGTAATTAATCTTACAAGTGTAGATATACCATGAGATTATCTAAGACTTCTATCTGCTGGAACTAATATGAATCTTCCAATGTGTTCCAAAACCTTACCAATAATAGCTGAAATAGAAAATGCAATAAGAAAACTTCAGGTAATAAAGAGGAACAAGTGAAATTAAGAACAGCCATAAGTAAGGAATTGATAAAATTTAAAGGTAAAAATAAAAATAATGGTTATATAATAGATAAAAAAGCGATTAAAATAATTAACAAGACGAAAAGATGAATTAAATTTTTTAATAAAAGTAAGATTTCTTTGATTAAAGCAGATAAATCACATCAATTGGTTATTTTGAAAAAAGAAGAACTATTAGCTAAAAAAATGGAAATAGTATCATCTGATGAATATGAATTATTACCAAGAAATCCTATAGAATAAATTAAAAGTGATCTTATTAAATTATTAAAAAATATAAAAGAAATTTCAGCCAGTCAAGTTAAAAATATTTTGGATTTTAATTATGTAAGAGAACCTAACTTAAATGTAAGACTTAAAACACATAAACCTGGAAATACTTGCAGACCTCTTGTGGATTTTAGAAGAACTGTCTTATATAATTTGGAATGTTTTTTAAAAAATTCTTTACAGGTAATGGATAAATTAGTTTGCAGTATACAAAACACCAATGAACTGGTCAATGGATTGTTAAAAGGTAAAATTAAAAAAACTTTTCATATTATGAGTCTCGATATAAAATCTACGTACCCATCTACTATTTTGGAAATGATCATAGAAAGTCTTAGTGCATATAATATTCCTGAATATATAATAAAACTTATAGAATTTATATTTAATAATAATTATTTAAAAATTTCCACAGATTATTATAGACAGAAAAAAGGTATTGCTATGGGACCAGTCATCGGGCCAAAATTAGCTGATATTTATATGATTACAATAGATGAAAGAATCTTGACATTAACAGGTATTAAATATTATGAAAGATATGTAGATGACATAATATTAGTATATGATTCATAAACAGTTTCATCTAAAGATATTGAAGATTATGCAAATAGACTACAGGAAAATTTAAATTTTACAAATGAAGATGAACAACAACAAGAGCTGAATTTCTTGGATGTTGTTATAAAGAGAGAGGAAACAAGGGTTTTATTTCGTAAGTATGAAAAACCATTCAATAATAATAAAACCATTATTTATAAATCGTATTGTCCCATAGAGACTAAAAAGAATGTATTTATCATGGAATTAAGGAAGATTTTGAATAGAACAACTTTACAAGAAAATATAGATATAGAAATAAAACAACTTTTTAAAAAATTTCTGTTAAATGATAACCCAAAGTATATTCTTTGTAAGTGGTACAACTCTTATTTGAATTATAGATTTAATGTTAAAAATGAGATAAAAAATGTTTCTTATATAAAATTTCCTTATGTCATTAATATATTTGAAAAATATAAACTGATTTTTAAAGAATTTTCTATATGCATAGTTGCGAATCAAAAAAATAAGATGTTAAATGTGATCAGCATCGTAAATAATGAAGATACAAATATGCATAAAGATCAATTTAAGATTGCAGGTGTTGTCTATAGAATGTCATGTACCTGTCAAAATCCAAATTATTACATTGGAGAAACTGGAAGAAAGCTGGAGTTGAGGATAAACACGAGGCAGCTATCAGATTTAGAAGGATGGAATCGGTGTGGTTCCTACATTGTAATGAATTTGATTGTAATATAAATAATAAAAATACTAAAATATTATATAAAGTAGAAAATTGTACTGAAAGAAAAATTGTTGAACATTTTTACATCATCGCGTATGCAAATGTAATTAATTTAAATACCAGGATGTACTTTGATGCATGCTGGGAAAAGTTGCTGGATTTAAAACAAGAACAGCAACCACTAACTTGATGTATTCACTGATGAGGCCTACTAGAAAGACGAAATGCATTTGGTATATATCATTTATGGAATAAAAGTGTTGGTAATAATGAAAGTTTAGTTTGTTTCTCGTCATTTGTTTGTCTTTTTGACTTGTATTGTCCTCGAAGTCGAAAGTAGATCGAGTATTTTTTACTTGTTTTTAACTGAGAATAATTTTATTTTTAGTGTCAAAATATTCACTTTTATAGAATGGATGAAAAAGCTTTGAAACCTTATGTTGGAGAAATTAAAGACAGTCTAATTCTAATGTATTAATTAATTAATTTAATTAAATAGATGCATCAGAATTAGACAAATGTATGTCTGAAATAACCAAAGGTAACCAAATTATGTACTTAATTCAAAAATAATATAACTATATGAATTTTCTCAGAATCACAAAGGTTGATAATAGAATTGCTAATAGAGGAGAAAATAGAGAACTTTATACAAACAATTAAGAAATGTTTGTAAAGTTTGTAATGTTTTTAGAAGACAAGTTTCTATTTTTTTACTTATAGATGTAATTAATTATATTTATTTTTACTTATTATCTTTAATAATTATTCATTGTTATTATGGATAATGATATTTGCAGATTATATAAATTAATAAAAATTTTTAAATTTTAATGGTGTCATTTTGGTTTTTAGGGCCACGATTGGTTTTCTTCTTGGCTAAGTATAACGGATATTTTTCCAATATTGATAAAATTTGAATTGCTTCCTTTTATCGACATCGGCGGTACATTACAAACTAAAATTCATCTGGATGGTCTTATCATGGTAATGAATTTAAAATGCTTAATCAATAAAGTATCCAAACTTGAATAAATTGCCGTCTGGTATCGCTATATTTATTTAAATTGAAAAAGCCAATGTTAAATGAAACAAGAATTAGATTTCAGAATGGATCGACAACACTAATAAATAATTTGTGCAAATAAAATAATTATAACTATAAAAACTTTCATAAGCGAAGAAGTTATATAAGTTCAACCGTAAGAAAATTTGATAATTATTCAATATTTGTCATTTACTATTGCTAACAATCTAGTAATTTTGAATCAGATAATTAGTTTTCTAAAAATTCTTGGAATATCTGATTACTTTGGCAAGAAATAATAAATCTAAATTATAACAAAAAATAACTGTTTTCAATGTATTTGAATATAAATTATTTGATTTATCTTGGTTCCAGTAATCCTTTTACTTCAAACAATTTGTAATCGTGTAAAAAAATTGTTATAACAAAAATCTAAATTTGCTTTTTTTCTATCGTGATAGCGAGACACTGCATTTTGAAAATTTTTAAGAATAAATTATCTGACACAAAATAACTTTTTCTCAAAGATGGTTAATTTACGTTACAATCAGAAAAATTTTCTTTAAGTATTTTCAGTTTAAAAATATTAAAATTTATTTCAGAAAATTATTAAATTTAGAAGTTTTAGTTATTGGAGCTAAAANATTTTTACATATAATTTCTCAACCAGAAACAGATGCTTATTATTATATCATGATAGTTTCGGAACCCCATGTGGCATTTACCATTACTGCAAACTTACAAGGTATTCTTTACTTTTTAGAAATAGTTATAAGAAAAAAGAAAAAATTAGTAACAAATATATTAGATATTACTAAAATACTAGCAACATTTGTTATTTATTTTCTCATTAATATGAAAATAAATATTTATACAGTTTTTAATTATGATTTTTAATATCTGTTTGCACTTAACTTTATATGAAATTTATATGATTACAGAATTTTAAACTTAAAATATGAAAGTGAATAAATATCAGTACTATTGTATCAAAATGTAAGCAGATCATTAATTAAAGCAACTGAACTGTTTATTGAAAAAATTGAAGCATTTTTTGGCTAAAATTTAGCCATCTTCAACTTTGTATTGAATAAATAAGGGATGGAGAGTCAAATCTCTTTATGGGAATTGGAGTCAGTTTTAAAAAATACCAACTCAGGAGTCAGGAATTGTATAATTTTGCACTGACTCCCCATCTCTGAGGTGGAGAATTGAGGAGTCAAATCTTTTTATGTAAGTCGGATGTCAGAGTGGATTTTAAAAATTATAGAGTTGGGAGACATGTATTTTCCACTGACTCTCCATTCCTGAAATAAACAATGATATTTATATAATAGTTTGAGTGATTACTGTAATTTCCCAATTTTAAATTATATAATGTGATCAAAAAGTCACACAACTCAATCTTCAAATGGCCATATTATTGTATACAACATAACCATCAGATATTTTTCTCAACTGGTGGCAGTACTTGTAGTTTGTGACTCATGCATTGACTTCTAGAAACACAAGTCTGAGTGAATGGTAGTAGATAACTGATGGTATTGCACACAGTGTTTTTTCTCAGATCCAGCATATATTTGCTGTTAACTCCCCCACATAATTGATGAGCTTAAAGTTAGCTTTGTTACAGCAATTTAGAATGTGCCAGTGTCAATTCTACTTAAAGTGGCTGCTAACCTTAAGAGTACAAGAGTGTATCCAGGATGAAGGTAGGCATTTTGAACATATGCTGTAAGCATCGTCTTTAACATTGAACATTGCCCTAAAAACATTGTGATTTAACATTATGATATTCTCTGTAAACAACAATGTGATTTCTGTACTATTATCTATTGGGTTGTGCAAATTTTTGATTACAGTATAATATTCAATAATATTAAATCGATATAAGGTTGTATAATATTTCAAATAAGAATAACATTGATGATTGTGAGCATATGACAAAAAAGTTAAATTGGTAAAACAAATATAGTTTGTATTTACATTCTTCTCTCAGGTAATTAACACATAAATGTGAATGAAGTTAAAATCTTACAATATTATACATAAATTTAAAAAATAATTAATTGAATAATTGTAGATCAAAACTAGATGTTTCTGTCTTGTAGAGAGAAGAGAAATTGTAGGAGTCCAATAGCTCTTTTAAATCCTTATATGATTGCCATATTTAGTTCTAAGTTTTGTAGAGGTTATCAGAGCACTGATTAGTATAGACACAGAATAAAAAGTGGGCTAACTATTTCAGATGATGATAGCTTTTTTCATCTATCAAACTAGAAGTAGCTCTGACTTTAACCAGAAATTTGATTTTATAAGTGTAACTGTCTAGATTGGCTTCTTATTTGATCAATTTAGATTATATTGATTTATTTTTTTATAATTCTTATTTTATTTGAACTATTGCTTGTACAGACAGACATCTAGTGTATCCTTTACTTATCAGTTTTGGATGATTTGGCAAAACTGTGGTAAATTGGTCAAAACTAGCCAAACTCAAATTAACGTCATTCATTGTTGTGTGTACAGTTTATTTGTGGTTAAATGGAGACTTTGTCAAGAACTTCATAATGGATATTTATATCAATACTGAAGATATTAAGCTTAATCCAGGACATTATAGTACATTGTTTAGGCTTTATAACATTTAAATTAGCTGGAAGATATAGCAATAGATTCCTTCCCAAATTATAAGCCATGGATTCAACATGGTGTGTCACAATATTATATAGAGATTCATGTAGGTGAACTGCTCGAACTCGATCACAATGCATTAATATTGTAAAACCTCACAAGTATTTTTATTCTTTACATAAGACGATAATGTGATGCCCAGTGGACAAAAATGACATTCCTACAGTAAAAATTAGAAAATATGGGAGAAAAAAATAAATCATATCTTCTCAGTTGGTTGCCTTAACTTGCTTGCATTTTATTTTTCCAGCTCTATTATTTATAATAGAGGGAAAGTATGGCAATCAGTCAAAAAACGATATCCCAAGAATTTTACACTTTTGGACTCAGGACCTTAAAATGTCATGAAATACAAAAAAATTTTGGAGATTTTTCTGTATGTATGGGTGTGTGTTTGTGTGGAGGAGGCACAATTTTGTTCACCCTTTTTTGAAACTTAATAACTCCCATGATTTGAAATTTTCTGAAATTTTGCAGGGAAGTTTGTGTATTAAGGGGATCAATGCTATTTCATTTTGATGGTTAAAGATTGACAAGTGGAGAGATAAAGAGAGTCTTGTGTCATGTATCGAGTAGGGTTGGACTTAATGACGATCTTATTCGTTATTAGCATTTGCAATTTTTTATAAAATCCATCCCTATTCTTAAAATTAAGCTTTTTGCCATTTTATAATAATTAAAAATATGAAAAGATTTTAATAATAAAATATCATAACATATGGTGCCCCCCACACAGTTTTAAAAGTTGCTGGGAAACTTGTCTCTAGATTTTTTAAGTATGAAATTATCATTTCTTAATATTTTAAGATATTCACAGTTTACTTTAATTTGAAAAAAGATGTTTATTATGTTATAATCCATTTTTATAATATATTTGAAATAAATAAATTGTTTATTTCAGCATGTTCATTATTATGGTATCATAACAAAAATAAAATTAATCAGTTACCTACAAGTGATGAACAGCTTTCAGCAACAACAAAATCTCTATTGTCATTGCTGAATTTAACTCAAGGACAGAAAAGCAGGCGGCATTTCCCAAAAGGGGAAGAAATTGATATGCAGATATTGATGTCGGAATGGGAATTGGCTGATGGCTGTCTTCCTATTATTCCACTTACTAGGATAAAACATGCTCAAGATTTTTTGGATTCGTTTCTTATTCAGGTATTAAATTTTTTTTAATAAATTAATAAATATTTCAAAATATGAGAGATATTTTGTAATTTAGTTGTTTTATTAGAAATATGCGGGGTGATCAAAAAGTAAGTTTACAAGGTCCGTGGTTAAAAACAAATGCATCGTTGAGTGTAATGCCAATGTAGGTAGATAGTAATGATCTACATTGGCAACAATAAATGGTTACAAGGATATGTTACTTTGGGACACATGTGCATTTTCAAATGGTGATAAAGTTAGAAAAATTGTTTCACAAAGAAGCAGTTTAATTTTTTTGTGGAAATTGCTTCATATTATGATATGGTAGCAAGCTAGAGGGGTGTATGGGGTTCTTAGAGGGGTAGTAACTTTTGAAAGTGTCAGCCGCACTGAAATAGTGGACACCGTAGACTGTACCCCATGAGGACCTAACTCTCACTTATGGCTCCAAGTAGTTGGTAGTGCATGCTAATGACTTCGAGCAGACTGCGTTATATCGAATCAGTATTAAGCGAGGTAGCACTAAGCGGGGTCTTACTGTACTTAATATATGAAGAGTGCTCAAGAGAAGCACAAGATGATGGCGTGAAATTGTTGTCAACCTCCTGACAGGAGAAGACACCTAAAGAAGAAGAAGCAAGCTAGAGACCATTAATAGAAAGCATGCTGAATTCCTTATCCAAGGCATTATCCTCTTGTGACAATGTCTAACTACTTATAGCACTTCAGACTACAGTATTAATTTATTGCAGATATTTTAATGGAAGATTTGCCATTATCTCTCATGTAGCTCAGACTGAGTTTTTTTTCTCATTTTCCCTTATGTAAAGGAATACAGATATAATCATTATTTCACTACTGATGAAGAAGGGAAAGTTGTCATTGCTGAGTGACTGCTTGGGATGAAAAAGTTCACCTGTTACAATAAATGCCTGAACAGTTTAAGTGATTTTGTTGATGAAGTATAGCTGCCAGCAAACAATAATACTCTATTATTGTTTGTCAGTAGCTCTATTCTATTATACTTTGTCTAATGAAGGAAAACAACATAATTACGGTTTTTGTTATTTAAGCACTATAAAAGAGCAATTAATTGACCACTAGGCATCCTTTCGTCCTTTTATTTATTATTTCAACTAAATAATAAATAATAAAATATAATTGCACTTTATAGTGCTTAAACAACAAAAAGTATAGCAACATGGTTTTAGATTGGCAAAAAATAATTATGTTCCTATGGAGGTTTTGTGTAAATTGTGGTTTTTATTTGTTACAACTGAAGAGGGCCATTTAGAGCTGAAATGCATTTTGTAACAACAAATGTAGTAAAATGATAAATACTTGTGTTGGTGAAACAGGACATCATGACTCTTAAATTTGTCACTGGAACCACAAGTGGACTTATTAAAAAACTGCTTTGGGAAAGGATTCTTAGAGGATACCTATTGGTAACATTATGTTTTACATCTGTCCACAGAAAAAGATTAATTTTTATGATTTCTTTTTTGGATTTTTAAAATTATTTGTGTTGCTGGCCTTGTAAAGTGTTTTCTGATCACTACACATATATTTTAGTTTTAATAATTGATAAATTGATGTTTGTGTGATGACTGATGATATAGCTGAGCATTTTATGGACATAAATAACCAAGCTTTATTTATGTTGACATCTTATGATTAAGTTTAAGGTTATAATTACGTAACTCATTGTGAATGAGCCTTTATTCACGTACTTGGAGATTGCTCACATGTTCATAAAAAAGTTCAGATTTCTAGTTTTCTGTGACAATGATATATAAATATATTATGTGTTTTTTGTATAAAAAACTGTCAAAATATCAATAATTAAAAACAATGAGATCAGTATATTCAATTCCACTAAAAATAAAATTATTTTTAGTTAAAAGCAAGTAAAAAATACTCAATCTACTTCCGACTTCAAGGACAATGATGATGGATTTAGATTATGCTAAATGCTTTTTGAGAGAACGCTATACACCAGTAACATTCAGATTACCCACATCCATATAATCCAGTATACGATTGGGTTATGTAAAGAAAATAGAAAAATTAATTATAAAATTGGCAATAAAAAGAAAGGTAAAAAAATATTTAATTTACGTAAGAAATATAAGATATTAAAAAATATAATAGAGATAACATAAAAACCAATGATTCTGATCAATATGATTTAAATAAATATGCTAAACTCTCAGAGAAATGACTACCTACTAATACCGAAAAACAAGAAAAAGTTAGTAATTAATCTTACAAGTGTAGATATACCATGAGATTATCTAAGACTTCTATCTGCTGGAACTAATATGAATCTTCCAATGTGTTCCAAAACCTTACCAATAATAGCTGAAATAGAAAATGCAATAAGAAAACTTCAGGTAATAAAGAGGAACAAGTGAAATTAAGAACAGCCATAAGTAAGGAATTGATAAAATTTAAAGGTAAAAATAAAAATAATGGTTATATAATAGATAAAAAAGCGATTAAAATAATTAACAAGACGAAAAGATGAATTAAATTTTTTAATAAAAGTAAGATTTCTTTGATTAAAGCAGATAAATCACATCAATTGGTTATTTTGAAAAAAGAAGAACTATTAGCTAAAAAAATGGAAATAGTATCATCTGATGAATATGAATTATTACCAAGAAATCCTATAGAATAAATTAAAAGTGATCTTATTAAATTATTAAAAAATATAAAAGAAATTTCAGCCAGTCAAGTTAAAAATATTTTGGATTTTAATTATGTAAGAGAACCTAACTTAAATGTAAGACTTAAAACACATAAACCTGGAAATACTTGCAGACCTCTTGTGGATTTTAGAAGAACTGTCTTATATAATTTGGAATGTTTTTTAAAAAATTCTTTACAGGTAATGGATAAATTAGTTTGCAGTATACAAAACACCAATGAACTGGTCAATGGATTGTTAAAAGGTAAAATTAAAAAAACTTTTCATATTATGAGTCTCGATATAAAATCTACGTACCCATCTACTATTTTGGAAATGATCATAGAAAGTCTTAGTGCATATAATATTCCTGAATATATAATAAAACTTATAGAATTTATATTTAATAATAATTATTTAAAAATTTCCACAGATTATTATAGACAGAAAAAAGGTATTGCTATGGGACCAGTCATCGGGCCAAAATTAGCTGATATTTATATGATTACAATAGATGAAAGAATCTTGACATTAACAGGTATTAAATATTATGAAAGATATGTAGATGACATAATATTAGTATATGATTCATAAACAGTTTCATCTAAAGATATTGAAGATTATGCAAATAGACTACAGGAAAATTTAAATTTTACAAATGAAGATGAACAACAACAAGAGCTGAATTTCTTGGATGTTGTTATAAAGAGAGAGGAAACAAGGGTTTTATTTCGTAAGTATGAAAAACCATTTAATAATAATAAAACCATTATTTATAAATCGTATTGTCCCATAGAGACTAAAAAGAATGTATTTATCATGGAATTAAGGAAGATTTTGAATAGAACAACTTTACAAGAAAATATAGATATAGAAATAAAACAACTTTTTAAAAAATTTCTGTTAAATGATAACCCAAAGTATATTCTTTGTAAGTGGTACAACTCTTATTTGAATTATAGATTTAATGTTAAAAATGAGATAAAAAATGTTTCTTATATAAAATTTCCTTATGTCATTAATATATTTGAAAAATATAAACTGATTTTTAAAGAATTTTCTATATGCATAGTTGCGAATCAAAAAAATAAGATGTTAAATGTGATCAGCATCGTAAATAATGAAGATACAAATATGCATAAAGATCAATTTAAGATTGCAGGTGTTGTCTATAGAATGTCATGTACCTGTCAAAATCCAAATTATTACATTGGAGAAACTGGAAGAAAGCTGGAGTTGAGGATAAACACGAGGCAGCTATCAGATTTAGAAGGATGGAATCGGTGTGGTTCCTACATTGTAATGAATTTGATTGTAATATAAATAATAAAAATACTAAAATATTATATAAAGTAGAAAATTGTACTGAAAGAAAAATTGTTGAACATTTTTACATCATCGCGTATGCAAATGTAATTAATTTAAATACCAGGATGTACTTTGATGCATGCTGGGAAAAGTTGCTGGATTTAAAACAAGAACAGCAACCACTAACTTGATGTATTCACTGATGATGCCTACTAGAAAGACGAAATGCATTTGGTATATATCATCTAAATATATAAAATTGCTTGTCCTGACTGACTCACTCATTCATTCACTGATTCATCATCGCCCAGAGCAAACCGCTTAACCTAAAGAGGTGAAATTTGGTACACAGTTAGGGTACGTCATGGAAACGCACACTAAGAAAGGATTTTTCGAAATTCCAACGCGGGGGGGTGAGGGNAGACAAGTTTCTATTTTTTTACTTATAGATGTAATTAATTATATTTATTTTTACTTATTATCTTTAATAATTATTCATTGTTATTATGGATAATGATATTTGCAGATTATATAAATTAATAAAAATTTTTAAATTTTAATGGTGTCATTTTGGTTTTTAGGGCCACGATTGGTTTTCTTCTTGGCTAAGTATAACGGATATTTTTCCAATATTGATAAAATTTGAATTGCTTCCTTTTATTGACATCGGCGGTACATTACAAACTAAAATTCATCTGGATGGTCTTATCATGGTAATGAATTTAAAATGCTTAATCAATAAAGTATCCAAACTTGAATAAATTGCCGTCTGGTATCGCTATATTTATTTAAATTGAAAAAGCCAATGTTAAATGAAACAAGAATTAGATTTCAGAATGGATCGACAACACTAATAAATAATTTGTGCAAATAAAATAATTATAACTATAAAAACTTTCATAAGCGAAGAAGTTATATAAGTTCAACCGTAAGAAAATTTGATAATTATTCAATATTTGTCATTTACTATTGCTAACAATCTAGTAATTTTGAATCAGATAATTAGTTTTCTAAAAATTCTTGGAATATCTGATTACTTTGGCAAGAAATAATAAATCTAAATTATAACAAAAAATAACTGTTTTCAATGTATTTGAATATAAATTATTTGATTTATCTTGGTTCCAGTAATCCTTTTACTTCAAACAATTTGTAATCGTGTAAAAAAATTGTTATAACAAAAATCTAAATTTGCTTTTTTTCTATCGTGATAGCGAGACACTGCATTTTGAAAATTTTTAAGAATAAATTATCTGACACAAAATAACTTTTTCTCAAAGATGGTTAATTTACGTTACAATCAGAAAAATTTTCTTTAAGTATTTTCAGTTTAAAAATATTAAAATTTATTTCAGAAAATTATTAAATTTAGAAGTTTTAGTTATTGGAGCTAAAAATTTTTCCATTTACAATAGAAAAATTTAGTTTTGGAATTAAATACCAATAAATAAAAAAAAAAGAAACTTTCTGATTTTCTTTTAATATACAGATTTTTTAATTAAGATAGAAAAATTAGAATATTTTTTTAGATAAAATTGTAAAACGATAGCATGTTATATTAATGTTGGAACATTTTTTGTTTGAAGCTTTTCATTTCACTGATTGACTTTTTAATTTCAAACGGATATTGATTTTAGTATTAAATGAAGACCGTGTATCAAAAATTAATAGTGACTATTTATTGGCTTTTTATTTTTAACAAGTGTAAGTAATTCAAATTAATTTCCTATTTTGGTTTATCATTAATCTTTTAGAAATTTTGTAAAATTGATATTGTATTGATTTGTAATTAAATTTAAACATTAATTAATTATATTTGACCTAAAATCATGTTAAAATATTTTTTAATGTCAAATTCTAAGTTTTTCTTATTTTGTGCAATCCAATATATTTTGTAGAATTTAACGTCACAAGTTGTAAAAGTAAACATGTGTATTCATCAAGGTAGTCCTCCCGTTTATCGTGACGGCATCATTCGGTGTCGTCCGGATTACGGGATGACCGTCGCATCCAACGAAAGTTCCACCGTTCTCAAGTATTTCCCTTTTCCGCAACCGGGAATGTGGTTTATTTCGTTTTCTGCATCATGTTACAATCATACCGGGTAAGTAAACGTATTTTCTTTTGATGTAATTGTAGTTGTTTGAAGAAGGTTTTGATTGTTCCGATTTTATTATCAAAACAACCGAAATGCTTTAAATTGAATACTTATTTTGTCTTGCAAATTTAAATATTCCATTTCTTAACAAATTTTTGTTTTAATAATTGAGTTGACTTTTATTATTGATTAATGTTTCTGATTTAGGTTTTTATTTAAGAAAAGGAATTCTTTTGAAATAATGTATTTTTTTTTTTATTCTGACAAACAATATTGATTAACTTCATGACAGTTTTGTGAAGGAATTCCTTTCTGTCCATTGTCATGAAAGCGTCATCCTGGTGTATATTTTATATTCTTACACAGAGCTTCTGGTGTAAAGGCAATTTAATCCCATCTTTTTTCAGGTTGGTTTCATATTCTTTTGGCCTGGATTTCACAGATTAAATAGTGCTTCCTATATAGTAAACCTTACTCACATCACTAATTTAAGAGAATTTTATATAAAACTTCTTTTAGTTACCTCTCTGTTAAAGTTTTTATTTATTGTTTTTTGTTTTTGATGAGATTGAAAATGGACAGTCCCAGAATGACCAACTTGATTGTTTTGTGAAGGTAAGAGCTCATTAGTTTTGTTAAGTACAAGATATTGCAAGTTTGGTAAATTTGTGATCTTGGTACTTAATAAATCTGAATTCTCTTGACATAAAATTTCAAATACTCAAAGCACGAGGTGGTCTTTAACTTATCTGAATGCACAAATTATTTGACTGTATTTTTAAATTGAGCACGTACAAACATTCAAGATATAATTGGATTAGCATTTGTTCTTGAGGTACGTTATGTATATGCAAATTAACAGCCATCTGAGCTTGTGTGACATTTAAACTTAAACTTGTTCTCGTGGCATCTTTTTCCAATTTTTGTTTAATTTACATGAACTTAAAATTTAAATTTAAATTTTTCATTCTTATTATTGTATTTGTTTGATGATTTGAAGATGGTTCAGACTACATTTAAAATATTTTTCAATGAATAAAGTATAGTCTGGTTTCTTTATATCTTTGAATAGTTGTGGTTAATATAAACTTTCCACAATATTGATATCTAAATCTACAGAAAACACAAACATATGTATACAAATGCACACTTATACACTTCTGTACATATTTTTTAATTAATGTATTGTATATTCAAAGCTGAATTCATAACGTATTATTAAAGATTATTTTTTATTTTCCACAATAAAAAGAACTAAAATAACAGAAAACACATCTAAATGTATACAATTACATTTTTTTAATATTTCATACATATTTTTTAATTAATGTATAAAATACACATACGTAAACGAGTCCATTGGTTCTGGTCGAAATCCTTCGTTTCTTGTCCTTCGGGTATGTGATAGTTTACATTGATGCATTCTGTTTGGACAGGTGACATATAGGTGGGAACTAAAAATAAATAATGTATTATTGTGATAAATTTTTTAAAAAATTTAACGTATATTTTTAACAAATAGCAGGTCGTTGCAAGTTAGAAAGACATAAAATTATACCTACTTAACTAACCTTATTCGAAATTCTATACAAGAATATTATTATGTAAGAGAAATATCCATTTTTTTAACGGAAGTTTCGACAGCAATATGGGTTAATTGGACGTCTTATACATTGTCCAGGTCATGAATTCGTCCATCCTTCGTCGAGTTTTAATCACCTGCATGCTTGGTAACAATCATGTTACAAGGTTGACGCCTCGACCGTTAGAAACAAAGCTAAGGCGCATGCTTAGTAATTAACATATTTCGTCCATTTTTTACCATTTTTATGAAAAATGTATTTATTAGATTGAGTATTCTAATGAGTATGCAGTGTAATGGACGGACTAACGATGCATAATGTCATCTGAGGTGGAGGCGACTCCGACAGGCGCCCGACTGACGTCACAAAATAGGTGTGGTCCACGGTACCTGTCATGACTCTTCTCTCATTCTGTGAATAAAAGATATTCCTCTAAACAAATAAATACTTTCTCGACACAAACCACCACGTGTATTAATTATAAAGAGTGTTGTTTTATGATCATGTAGGGGTTTTTAAAGCATATTTTTCTCATTTTTAACTTCCAAATTTTCAATAAAATCATCCATTCTTCTCGAATTAATCAAAAAATCATTAATGTTTGAGGAAATTTTTTGAAGAATTATTGCTTAATATGACTCAAATTCTTAATATAAATTGAAGATTTGATAAGAATTTCATCTATTTTTGAACTTTTCTAAACGTTATCTTTGCTAAATTGACAGANAGTTCTGTCTCTCGATCGTCCACATTTTTGTATGAGTTTATTTTCTTGTTTTATTAAATTTATTATTCCGTTTTTAATTGGGATGTCTCTTGTTTGTGTGACCGAATCAGATCGTATACGCGTGTTTGTCCGCGCATCGATAAATTGACAAACTGGTGTCAGCATCCTGATGTAGATCCGAATCTCGCGATTTGGATCATTATTAAAAGCCCTCCCAGTCAAACGAATCTTGACATAAGATCGGATCTCTCGATCCGAAACTCGGAGAACTATTCTCGCGGAATAGTGCCGATTAAGTGTTACACGAGTACTACCTACTCCGTAACCCCGGCTGATCTCACATTTGTAAGCCTTATGAAGATAACAATAATGTTATTAAAAGTACTTCTTTTCTTGTTAATTTAATAGATACTGTAATACCAAAAGACATAGTGTAATTTTCTCAGAATACTTACGCATTGCATTGAGTGCACCAAAGATATTTTAAAATTCCTTACCTCCATAATAATTCTTTCTTCTCAATACATTTCATATTCTTGCATTGTTAAAAATCTAGTTAATGTTGCATTTATTTATTTTTTTATTAATTTGTATCTTTTTAACCTATTATTGAATTGCTATTGATTTATATTCTACATGTGGCATGTTTGTTTTCTCATGTATTGTCTTTGCAATGAATGTTGAAAATATTTGGAATTCTGTTTTGGTCTTGTGATTTTTTATCATGATATATTGTTATACTGTATCATGGGATTGCATTTGTGTATAATACTAACATTTTTATCTTTGCTTTTTTTTATTTGTATAAGCTTTCTATATAACCACTTTCCATTGTTTACCATTAGTATTTGTTTTTGATTTTGAATGTGCTTTAATAAGGTTGTCTAAAATGTCTAAAACTTTTTCTCAAAGCATGGTTTAAGGCTTTTCCATGTCTTAAACCGTGTCTTTGTGTGCAAAGTCTTTGTGATATCTCCATTTTCACATCATAGAAACAACAAGCTTTATTTATCGGAGCTCTAACATTTATCTTGAGACTTTACTCCACCGGAGCTTCAAGTAAAGGCTTGTTCCTGTGGTGTGAAAACATGAAATATGAAGACTTTGTGTATCTTCTTTATGTGAATCTTAAATCACATATTGCAGCATTAAATGACTTGTGTTCAAAATGTTAAATTATATAATTTATTATTTAGATTGCTTTTTGCTCATTGACTTATTTCCTGTTTCATGTTAGTGCACTTTTACTATAGACGGACTACCACGGGACACAATTTTCTTCTCTGTACAGGGTGGGTCAAAAGTCACTTTACCATTTAAAAATAAAATAATTTTTTTACTTTTAATTATTTTATAAGTTACTTTTTAACATTATAACGTACACATCTTGGAGATGTTTTTGGCCTAAACATGAAAGATAACATCTTTTAAATGGCCCCCGTTTTCCTCATTAGCATAGAAAGAGCTTGCGTTTGTGAAGTGACTTTTGGCCCACCCTGTACTTATTATGAAACTCATTTTGGACCCAATAAGTCCTTCTTCAGTCATGATACATAGATCTCATTGTGAATTTCTAGGTACTACATGCATGTACATTATTGGTTTTATAATAAAAAATTTCACATATGTACTTGTATGTGACAAAATCCGCTGAAAGGATATATTTTATCCTGGACACACAAATTTGGAAAGAAAATTCTGTACATTTTGATACAAAATACATGGAATCTGATGAATCCATACTCCATCTCGATTTTACACACTGGAAACTTGCAGGCTACATCTCACACATCTGCATTTACTTTGCCTTTGGGTGTGTTTCCTTCAGGCTCGCAAATATGTGTTAGTTTATTTTTTCATTTCCTATCTGTTAGGGAATTTAGGGAACCCTCTCAAGATTCATGTATCTGTAGGCCTGTATTTTCATTTTTTCTTTTATCATCATTTATTCTTTTATTCATTTTATCATCATTTTTCTTTTATTATCATTTATTTTATTTATTCATTTATTCTCATATTATCATTTATTCTTTTAGAAATTTTTATAATTTCTAAATGTTCAAATAATTTTCTTTTAAACATATTTTCTTTACGTTTTTGATCTTTAGTATTTTTTTTAATATTATTTTTGCATCCATTTTGGTTATAGTGTTTCACGACCACAGATTTATCATCACTATTTTTTATTGCTCAGATGTGATCCATGAATCTTATTTGGAGTTTCCTCTTGGTTTCCCCTATATAAATGTGGGGATCAGTGCAACTGCAGTCCAGCTTATATACAATATTGCTTCTGTTCCATATTATCATTTGTGGTTCATTTTCTTTATTTTTAATTATTTTGGCTAATTGATTATGCTGTTCCAGCTAGCATGAAACATAGGAAATATATAATTTATACTCTTTTCCAAACCTGAAGATGAAAGTACTAGTTTGAAATATAAAGTAAACACTAAAAAATTAGAGGTGTATTATTTATTGTAAATTCAAATGATGCTACTGCAGGACAGTTTCAAAAATTTAAGAATGGAACTGAAGAATGTAAGTCATGTTACTGGGACTGTTGTATGACTTTTAGAAAAAGAGAAAAAAGTGTAATACAGATGTAACTCATTATTTATTTATTCTTAAAAGAGATATCTTTTAGAATAAATAAATAATGAGTTACATCTGTATGAGTTTATAGAAGAAAAAGAACCATAGTATATTGTGCAAATTAAAGATAAAGTTTTTTGTAATAAAGGGTTTTTCGCTAGGGGCAATCAAACTTTGACAGTGTATAGCAACCATGTTAGTGAAGCTACAGCTGTCAAATTTGGAGGTTATAATAATTAATGTTGGGCAAACCATCGTGGAAAATTACAGTATTGAGCAATGTGTGCAAATCATTAAACTGTACTATCAACACGAGTGCTTGGTTCGAGCTACGTTCCGTGCACTACGTGATTTTTATGGTGCACACAATCGTCCTGTTGAGTCGACTATTCATTGTTTGATGGACAAATTCGAATCAACTGGTTTCATTAAACAATCAAACAACACTTGTACATCATCGAAACGTGAGGTCTGCAGAAAACATTGTTGCAATGAAGGAAAGTGTGCAGGATAAACCGCAGCAATCAATTCCTCGTCGTGCCCAAGGATTTGGCCTTTTGCAGACATCAATGTGGCAAACTTTGTGTCGGGACTTGGGCATACAACTGTACAAAATTCAATTTATCCAGGAACTGAAGGTAAACGACCATAGGCCACATCAAGCATTTGCTGACGGCTCATGAGCAGTTCGAAGTGGACCCCGATTTCGGACAGAAAATTATCTTCAGCGACAAGGCCCATTTTTGGGTGAATGGCTACATCAACAAGCAAAATTGTCAAATTTGGGGAGATAACAATTCACATGAGACCGATCAGTTGCAAGTGCATCCAGAAAAAGTCACTGTTTGGTGTGGATTTTGGTCTGGTGGGGTTATTATCCAATACTTCTTCCAAAATAAAGCTGGAACCACTATAACTGTTACCGGCGAAAGGTACAGATTGATGATAACCAATTTTTTGTGGCCTAAATTGGAAGATATGGATCTCAATGATATGTGGTGCCAACAAGATGACACTACATGCCACACAGTGCATGCAATAATGGATCTTCTGCACAACAAATTCGACGGCATGGTTATCTCATGTTTCGGCAATGTCAACCAGCCACCAAGATCATGTGATTTAACACCATTAGACTTTTTCTTGTAGGGCTATGTTAAATCATGGGTCTATGAGAATAAGCCTCAGATGATTGCTGTGTTAAAAGTCAACATAACCAATCTCATCAATGACATTGAGCCCAATTTATGCGGTAGAGTCATCAAAAATTGGATCTCTCGGATATGTGCCACCCAACGAAGCCGCGGCGGCCATTTGGCCGATATTATATTCCGTACGTAATGTAATGGAATACTCTTTCGAGTAAAAAAATAAAATTAATAATATCTCAAACACAACTTGTTNATGTAAGAGAACCTAACTTAAATGTAAGACTTAAAACACATAAACCTGGAAATACTTGCAGACCTCTTGTGGATTTTAGAAGAACTGTCTTATATAATTTGGAATGTTTTTTAAAAAATTCTTTACAGGTAATGGATAAATTAGTTTGCAGTATACAAAACACCAATGAACTGGTCAATGGATTGTTAAAAGGTAAAATTAAAAAAACTTTTCATATTATGAGTCTCGATATAAAATCTACGTACCCATCTACTATTTTGGAAATGATCATAGAAAGTCTTAGTGCATATAATATTCCTGAATATATAATAAAACTTATAGAATTTATATTTAATAATAATTATTTAAAAATTTCCACAGATTATTATAGACAGAAAAAAGGTATTGCTATGGGACCAGTCATCGGGCCAAAATTAGCTGATATTTATATGATTACAATAGATGAAAGAATCTTGACATTAACAGGTATTAAATATTATGAAAGATATGTAGATGACATAATATTAGTATATGATTCATAAACAGTTTCATCTAAAGATATTGAAGATTATGCAAATAGACTACAGGAAAATTTAAATTTTACAAATGAAGATGAACAACAACAAGAGCTGAATTTCTTGGATGTTGTTATAAAGAGAGAGGAAACAAGGGTTTTATTTCGTAAGTATGAAAAACCATTTAATAATAATAAAACCATTATTTATAAATCGTATTGTCCCATAGAGACTAAAAAGAATGTATTTATCATGGAATTAAGGAAGATTTTGAATAGAACAACTTTACAAGAAAATATAGATATAGAAATAAAACAACTTTTTAAAAAATTTCTGTTAAATGATAACCCAAAGTATATTCTTTGTAAGTGGTACAACTCTTATTTGAATTATAGATTTAATGTTAAAAATGAGATAAAAAATGTTTCTTATATAAAATTTCCTTATGTCATTAATATATTTGAAAAATATAAACTGATTTTTAAAGAATTTTCTATATGCATAGTTGCGAATCAAAAAAATAAGATGTTAAATGTGATCAGCATCGTAAATAATGAAGATACAAATATGCATAAAGATCAATTTAAGATTGCAGGTGTTGTCTATAGAATGTCATGTACCTGTCAAAATCCAAATTATTACATTGGAGAAACTGGAAGAAAGCTGGAGTTGAGGATAAACACGAGGCAGCTATCAGATTTAGAAGGATGGAATCGGTGTGGTTCCTACATTGTAATGAATTTGATTGTAATATAAATAATAAAAATACTAAAATATTATATAAAGTAGAAAATTGTACTGAAAGAAAAATTGTTGAACATTTTTACATCATCGCGTATGCAAATGTAATTAATTTAAATACCAGGATGTACTTTGATGCATGCTGGGAAAAGTTGCTGGATTTAAAACAAGAACAGCAACCACTAACTTGATGTATTCACTGATGATGCCTACTAGAAAGACGAAATGCATTTGGTATATATCATCTAAATATATAAAATTGCTTGTCCTGACTGACTCACTCATTCATTCACTGATTCATCATCGCCCAGAGCAAACCGCTTAACCTAAAGAGGTGAAATTTGGTACACAGTTAGGGTACGTCATGGAAACGCACACTAAGAAAGGATTTTTCGAAATTCCAACGCGGGGGGGTGAGGG